CATAATGTTACTATTCGAATAATAATTTGAATAAAAAGGGTTTTATACCACACAGTGACACAGTTCTAAATGTTTTCACTGTTCATTCATTCATTCTGATTTAAAAGTCCACTTTTGTCTATTTAGCGTTCCACTTCTTGCTTCATGCTCTGTTCCTCTTGTGATCTATGACATTTCTCAATTCTCTCACACGTTTCCTTCCTGTTTGTCTGTTCCGCTCTCTGATGGCTGTATTATTATTAGTACTCCTGCATGTAAGGGCTGAAAAGATACCAGCACCACAAAGGCAGCGAGCAGCGCTTGATATGTGGAGTGGTATTTACATTTCAAAAAGAGGCAGATGAAATGAACTGCCGAACTTTAACAATTTCTGACATCCTCACGTCTCTTCTTCCACCACATCCTCTTTCACTCTCTCACTCTCTCTCTTTGCAGCTCCCTCTGCCAGTCTCTTTGTGCCTCTCTCACATTTATCACCAGCTGATATCAGGTTTGAAGCACTAGATAGATTTTTGATAGGTATAGTATAGGTCATAAACCCTGCCTTCTCCATGTTAGTGGAGGAGGCATTGGACAAACTAAAAAGTCAAAGTCCACATTAAATACATTTTCCTCAAAGTTGGTTTCCGTCATTTTAGGTCATTCTTATCACATTGAAGTTTGCGAGTGTTAATTGTTCTGCTAAGTTTTGCTTTAATTAGTTATTTGATGCTAAAAGAAAGTTGGGTGAAACATTGTTGAAGCAATAATTACATCACATGTTCTGGAACACAAGCAATATGGTTTTAATAAAAAAGAATAACCTCACCTTCGGAAAGTTCCTAGTTGTCAAGTCACTTCCATAATGTCAGTGGATACAGTAAATAATAGTACATGTATGTCGATGTACACTCAGAACAGTTTTTAATATTTATTTCTCTCTTCTCTCCAGTTCGGCGTATGATGTGGTCTTAAGGCAGAAGGTTGCGGTGAAGAAACTGTCCAGGCCGTTTCAGTCTCTGATCCACAGCCGCCGCTCATACCGGGAACTCAGGCTGCTCAAGCACATGAAACACGAGAATGTTAGTGCTCCTTACAAAAATATCCTGAGACAGACAGACAGACACAGTCCTCTGCGTGGTTCTACTCTACTATTGATCTGCTCTGTTTGTCTCTGTCTCGGTCTCCTTCTCTGCAGGTAATCGGGCTGCTGGACGTCTTCACACCTGCAGCAACATTAGAAGACTTCAATGAGCTGTAAGTCTTCTTCATCACCTGATGTTTACTAGAAGCTAAACAACTTTCCACCAGAAATGCAGTGATCCTGTTGTTAGAGGGCACGGTGATGGTGATGGAGGCGATTCCTGGGGAATTAGAGGCTTGTAGAGATGTCAGACAGTTGCCATGGCAATGCACATGTTCTCTCCTCTAACTGAAACACCTCCCCCTCCCCATTTACTCACACTCTCTCCTTCCCTCAGCTACCTGGTGACTAATCTGATGGGAGCAGACCTCAATAACATCGTTAAATTTCAGCGGCTGTCAGACGAGCACGTGCAGTTCTTAATTTATCAGCTCCTCCGCGGCCTCAAGGTAATTGACTGCTTCATGATACACATGCTGTATGTCATACTAAATGTAACAGTACACAGTACACAGTTAGTATGCAGATACTACACCTTTCAGTTCCCAGTTGTTTTGTCTGATTTACCTCGGCAGCCCTATCAGATATTCTTTTCATAAACATCACCATAATAACCCTGACATGTTCATTTGAACTAAATTTGAACTTGATTAAAACTGATTGCAAATTAATTACGGTGTTACAGGAAATTTTCATATAATTATGTTGTCAGTGTTTCAGAACTTGAGGTGGCAGAAATACATAAATTGATTGAAGTTAATGATTTCAACCATGTATCTACTTTT